CGAGAGCTCAAAAGGGTGTCTGAAAATGGTAAGAGAGGAGCCATTAATGGAAGAAAAATGCAATGAAGAGGAGATAAAAAGGAACAAAAAAAACAAGAATATAATAGAAGAAATTGCAGAGAGATTGAGGGGTGAAGTGGAAGAAAAGGAAAAGATTGAGGCAGCTAAGGAAATTAGGAAACTAGTGAGGAGGTCATCGTCTTCCGGCAAGACTCGTTCCCGGTTTGCTGCCGCCGGCGTTATTCCGCCATTGGTTGATATGCTTCAGCTTTCTTCTTCTTCTCTTCTAGCTCGTGAAGCTGCTTTATTAGCCCTCCTCAATCTTGCCTCCCGTAATGAACGGTTCGTATTGTTGAACTCTTCCTCTTTTACTTTTTTAACCTCTGTTGGGAAATAATTACATGTGTGTGGATATTTGTTATGTGAATTGAAGTTTGTTCAAGATTTTATGAGTTAGTTCGAGAACAGTAATTTCTTGTGATGATTTAGATAGGGAAGATTGTACTTTCCCCGGTAAAATTGAAAATTTTGGATGTTGAGTCTGGAAACATTTGTTACTGTAGAAATGAGAAGAAGCTAAAGGATGAAGGTGGTGGCTTTAGTGTAAAGACATACAAACCCCACCGCTTTGGTCTAATGGCAAGAGCGCAACCTTTGATGTGTGGGTTAGGCGCACATTATTGGTTCGAACTTTGTTGCAGACAAAAAGCCTTATATTTAAACGGAGAAGGGTAGAGGGGCGGACCCCCGCCCCTTATCCACTGAGTTTCGTATCATGCTCCATTGGCCTCGAGGATTCGTTTATTAAAAAAAGAAAGTAAAGTCATATAATCTCCACTTTGACAAACTAACATTGTAATTGTAGGAAGCATGATTAAACATTTGGTGTGATGTGTTGGAAATTTTATACAAGAAGCCGAACAAGTATAGTGACCAGCCATGGAGGTACCCGGTGCATGTACTGGTGGGAGGTAGCAGGTACTCGGTGGATTTAGTCGAGGCGCCCGCACCGGGTACCACTATTATTAAAAAAATAAATAGCAACCAGCCATAGAGGTCGCCAGTAGATATCAGCCCTAAAAAGAAAGAGCTACTCGAAACCATGAACGTTGCTATATTAATTGTCAGAGAACCACCGAGTTTTTTGCTGAAAATTTATGTTATGTATGACTATTTCTTTGTTATGAGTTATTGTTACCTAGATGTCATGATAACATCATCAATTTAGACTCCTTGCAAAATAGGGAAAAAGAGTTGGCGTAGACTGAGATGGAGGCGTGGAGTTCTTTTGTATATGAACTGGGCTGCCATGCCGACTATAATACTCATATGAAGAAAGATGATATGGGAAAGACTACGGACTTTTAAGCCAAAAAGGATGTTCCATTTCTCTCAAAATGAGATACACATACACCATTGGCTAATTGAGGTTTTATCTTTAGAAGCATTTTAGTGTTGCATCTTCTCATGTTTTAAAAGGTGTAATTGGAGTGTGGCCCAAATGAATCTTTGCTTTTGTCTCCAATTTCTGCTGGACGGCCACCAGCAGCGTAAAACCTATCTAATGATTGAATAGTCTTTTATCTTTCTTTTTCTGGGTGAAGCAGCAGAGAGGATTTTGGAGTAGGAGAGCATTTAAAGCTAAACTTGTGCTCATCAATGCCGTTTTTGCAGTCAAAAGAAAAAGTTTTCCATTTAATGTGCAATGACTACAATTTCATGGGATTCATAAACTGTGTTCTGGTTAAAATTTTGAAAGGTAGAATACGGTCAGGATCTTTTAGCTGCTTGCTACGGTAGTAAGCTTCTGCAACTTTTTGTATCTCACTGAAAACTGTCATCCTGTTTTTGTAGAATACATCTTCTTCCCCCCTTTTTGTGGTTTTATGGAAAGAATAAAAATGAATGTGTTTCATGATTCTAATGTCAACGACACCCTCCTTAGGTAAAGAATATGAAGAGAATGTCCAACTTCTCTCTGCCTCTCCTAACCTTTCTGTAGGTTTGTTTAACAGCTCCCTCGTTATCCTTGGATATATATCATCATTGTTCGTTGTGCTTTTCCCCTGTTTGTATTACTCACTTGATTCAAGGATAATCAACTTATCTCCTTATATTCCTTTCCAAATTTACCAGAAACAAAATTCGGATAGTTACATGTGGTGCCATCCCGCCTCTTGTGGAGCTCCTCAAGTTCCAAAATGGCAATTTGAAAGAGCTAGCAACTGCTGCTATTTTGACACTATCAGCTGCTGCAACCAACAAACTGACAATAGCTGCATCTGGAGTTGGACCTCTTCTTGTGCAGATCCTGAGTTCAGGAACTGTTCAAGGAAGAGTTGACGCCGTAACAGCCCTCCACAATCTCTCCACAACCAAAGAAGATCCCAAGTTGGTTCTTGATGCTAGAGCAGTTTTTCCGCTAATGAATCTCCTCAAAGATTGCAAGAAGTATTCCAAGTTTGCCGAGAAAACCACAGCCCTATTGGAAATCCTCTCTAATTCTGAGGAAGGAAGAGATGCAATCACAAATGCACATAATGGAATACTGACTCTAGTTGAGACTGTTGAAGATGGGTCACTCGTCAGCACAGAACATGCAGTTGGGGCTTTGCTGTCATTATGTCAAAGCAGCCGAGACAAATACAGGGAGCTGATCCTCAAAGAAGGCGCTATTCCAGGCCTTTTACGGCTAACTGCAGAGGGCACACCTCAAGCTCAGGAAAGAGCGAGAACACTTTTGGACTTGCTTCGGGACTCTCCTCCTGAAAACAAGTTCTCATCCTCCATGTTGGAGAGAATCGTATACGACTTTGCAGCACAAGTTAATGGAAATGATAAAGCCGCTGAAACAGCCAAGAGATTGTTACAAGACATGGTTCATAGAAGTATGGAGCTGAGCATGAGCCGTTTACAGTTAAGAGCTTCATCTTGTACCCCTTCAAAGGTGCAGTCTGTATGACGACAACAACAACAAACCCAGTGTAATACCACAGGTGGGGTCTGGGGAGGGTAGTGTGTACGCAGATCTTACCCCTACCTTGTGAAGGTAGAGAGACTGTTTCCAATAGACCCTCAACGGTGCAGTCTGTATGAATACTTAGATTGTTTCAAGCTTACCATAAACCTGTATAGAGATTAGGAAAAGCAGTTATGTAAATGGACTATAATTAGCTATTCTTCCTCTGCCTGTTTTTATGTGCAAAGATGTGGAGTTGCATAGACCATATGGCTAGCTAGTAGATAGTACATGCTGTTGGTGACACTCATTTTATTAACCTTAATGAGCATTGTACATCTCTAACTTAATCACTCATTTGTAAAGTTTGCACCTAGTTGTACGTTGCTGCTCTTCTTTTTTTTTTTTTATTTTGCCACCAATGTTTGCGTCAGGGTAGGCTGTCTACATGACACACCTTTGGGGTGCGATCTTTTCTCGGATCCTACATGAACGCGAATTGCTTCAAGCACCGAATTGTTTTTTTATTTTTTAATGGCATGAGAAAAAGTACTTTTCGATAAATAATTTTTAAAGATAAATAATTGTCTGAAAATATTTTAAAGACAAATAGGAATAAACAAAAATGAAAAGAAGCCAAGCAAAAGAATACATATATATAGTCGACATATGCAAAAGACACACTTCTGTGAGAAAGTACAAGAAGATTACACTAAAATGTTTCTTCCCTTCTCAAGAACAATTTATAACCAATCATCACGTGAAGAGCTTTGTGTACTTTGGTGCCGTCCTTTTTCGAACCATGCATGAATGCAGAATATTTTATGTATCGAGCTGTTTTTTTTCTTTTTTGCCCTTCACGTAAAGAGCATTGTCTTTTTTGCAACAGTATTAAAAAGGTGGAACAAATCCTCTTTTAATTTCTCTTAGTTCCTCATATCGCAACGAATATATAGGTTTGAAATTAAGTCACACCATCATCTTTGTTTCATTGTCACGTCAATTGCATTTAAACTTCACACATTGACTTATAAAAATAGTTAGTGGAATTGATCAATAAACATATTTTTGAAAACATAAAAGTATTCAATAAATTGGAGCATAAGTTGTCAAAATGAAATATGGTGCGTAAATTTGAAAGGTCACCGATGTATTTGACCTTAAAAGAAAGAAAGAACAGATGCAACCCCGTGAATAATGTAAAAGAGTATTTTGCTTATGATTTTAAATCTCGAAAATATTATAATAAAGTTTCTATTTATAATGATTATTTCAATTTTGTTGCTAAAGTTGCACGTGCCTACAAACCAATATAAAACTTGAACAAAAAAAAAACCAATATAATTAAAATTATTCGAGAAATACATAACTATTCGAACACAACAAATTTTGGAACACGCATTACACTAATTTGTGCCATGATTTAGGGCCCTCATTCTATTCGCTAATCACATCTCGACCATCCATGTTTTTGTCTGGAACAAATGGCAAAAATGGCCCCTTATGTTTGAGGTAGGTTCAAAGTAATACTTTAAATATTTTTTGAGCAATTTTGATCCTTTAAATTTATCAAAAATAAAAAATTTTGGTTTATTGAAAATAGATAAAAATAATAATAATAAAGATTGTAATTAAAAGAATTGTACCAGACACAAAATATACGAAAAAACATTAATTACACCATTAGATGTGAGTTTTCATTTAAATATATTAGTTTCCCATAATTCCCATTAAATCTAACATGTAAAGTTTGTTAAATATTTGAAAGCGACCAGAAATGCTCATTTTTGACAAAGTTTAAGGACCATAACTACTTGAAAGATATTTAAGTGACTACTTTAAACTTATCCTAAGTATAAGGGACCGTTTTATCATTTTCTCTTTTTGTCGGTGTACACAATTTTTATCCCCATTAAAATATTTATATTTATTTATTTAATGAAGCGGCCAAATTCCCGGGGCGCATTTTACATCATAATAACTTAATAACCCTATAATATCCCAACCGTCCACGTCATAAATGGACCAACACATTTTAAAAATCTAAGATCTTGACTCTAAAATTAAGAAAAATAAAGCAGCTTTACTCCATTGATTACTCTTCAGAAAGAGAGAATAAAACAGAAGTTCTGAAATCTATGTTGAGCTTCAAGTGATCAGTGACAATCTCCAAGCTGTATGAGGTAAACCAATGATAGTATTTTTTTTCTTCATAATTTTAGTTTTAACAGAGTCAATTCTTGCTTATACTTGCTCAGATCTATGAATTCTTGGTTTTACTTTGTCAAATTTCATGTTTTTCAGATACCCTTTAGTCATTTGTTTAACTGGTAGTTTAATATATTGCCCCATTGTGATTTACAGATTTCGTTCTTGTTGTGTTTGAGGCTTTAAGTGTTATAGTGAGCTTATAAAAGAGTGAAAAAATGATGGGTCGGTCGTCAAATTTGCTGTCAAGGAGTGGAAGTTTCAGGCCAGAAAATTTGGGGCAAAATGCAATGGCAATGATAGGGAACTTGTGTTTCACTATATTTGTAGTTGGGGTTTTGATTTTCACCATAATTGCTGCAACTTATGAGCCTGAAGACCCTTTATTCCACCCTTCAACAAAGATGACTAATTTCCTTACTTCCAAATCCAATGCTACATTTAAGGCTGATGATACTGTTGTGAGAACTGGTGAGGACTTTCTTGGTCCTAATCAGACCGTGTTTTCGACTTTTATAAACCTCACTGATGTTGATGTTCCGATGGCTATTGGCACTGAAAGTGTAACTGAGGATAACTTGGATTGTCGTGGCAAGACGGATGATCCCATTGATTGTACTGACCCGGATGTGTTTCATTTGTTGATGAGGGCTGCCATTGAGAAGTTTAAGGACATACATTTTTTCCGGTTTGGGAAGCCAGTTCGAGGGTCGAATGATAGTTCCTGCCACATGGCGTGGCGGTTTAGGCCTAAGGAAGGGAAGACTGCTTCCCTTTATAAGGATTACCGGTCTTTTGTGGTTTCTAGATCGGAGAACTGCACGCTTGATGTGGTCAGTATAGGTGATTATCATTCCGGTGGAAATGCTCGTAAGAGGAAGAGAAAGAACAAGGGAGGGTCGGACAGAACTACTGCTAAGCTAGATGAAGGTTTTGAGAAGGCACCTCAGAAGATAGAGGGACAAGATATCGCTTTGCCTGTAGTTGGGGAAGCTGTAAATGACTCACTTCCTGTGGTGGAGTCGGAGAGTTCATTCGGTAGTGGTAAGTATTTGATTTATTCTGGAGGTGGAGATAGGTGCAAGAGCATGAACCATTATCTTTGGAGTTTCATGTGTGCGTTGGGTGAGGCTCAATATTTGAACAGGACGTTGATAATGGACTTAACTATTTGTTTAAACAAGATTTACACTTCATCTGGTGTGGATGAGGAAGGAAAGGATTTCAGGTTTTACTTTGATTTTGAGCACTTAAAGGATTCAGCGTCCGTCCTTGATCAGGTTCAGTTTTGGTCAGATTGGAATAAATGGCATAAAAAGGATAGATTAGGTCTCCATCTTGTGGAGGATTTTAGGATTACGCCGATGAAGTTATCTGAAGTGAAGGATACTTTAATTATGAGGAAATTTGGTTCCGTAGAGCCAGATAATTACTGGTACAGGGTATGTGAGGGTGAAACAGAATCTATCGTTCAACGACCATGGCATCTGGTATGGAAATCAAGACGGTTGATGGACATTGTTTCAGCTGTTGCGTCGAGGTTGAATTGGGATTATGACTCAGTTCATGTTGTAAGGGGGGAGAAGGCAAGGAATCGTGAAATGTGGCCACATTTGGCAGAAGATACTTCTCCCGAGTCTTTACTATCTACCTTGCAGGACAAGATCGATGATGGAAGGAACCTGTATATCGCAACGGATGAACCAGATACATCCTTTTTTGACCCCTTAAAAGACAAGTACTCAACGCATTTCCTTGATGAATATAAAGATCTTTGGGATGAAAACAGCGAGTGGTATGCAGAGACAGCAAAACTTAATAACGGGAATCCAGTTGAATTTGATGGGTACATGAGGGTTTCAGTTGATACCGAAGTTTTCTTCAGAGGTAAAAAGCAGATTGAGACATTTAATGATCTCACCAAAGACTGCAAGGATGGAATTAATACGTGCACTTCGTCCAGCTAATTTCTGGCTAGCGTTTGAAGCTTTACTCCTGCAGTGTTTGGGTAAATCTATATCCCGTTTTGTTGTTTTAGGTAAATTTTGGTCTTAATTTGTAGAATGCATTCGTACGTATCTATTCTGAAAAGCAATAATAGATTATTTCTTTAGTTGGTACAACTTTTGTTAGTGTAGTTGCATTGTACTCAGTGTCTGCTTCAAGCTTGTATCCCTTCATTTGGTAAGTTAATAAGAATGTTATTCGTCTTCCTGACTTAAATTGCAGTTACTTTAATCCTCACATTGTTGTTTGATCTCATTTGTGCTTATGCTAATCAAATGCTTCTCTCAGCAATGCTGAACCATTGCAATCTTAGTGTGCATTCTAGCATTTTTTTAATACCCCACAAGTAGAACTAAAATGCTCGACGTATGTGGAATACCTCGATGCATCCTTTATTCAATGCTGCAACTAGTTGACTTGTTGAAGATAGTTGATGGAATTCATGCTTTTCTAGTGTTATCGAAAATAGGTAGAATGACGACTCAATCGTTTATTCTCATTTGCTTAGGTATTAGAATGTATTATAAACTAGTAGCCATCTGTCTTTGGTTAGTTATCCTGTCTATTTCCTGCCATTTATGTTGCTTAAAGGTATGATCGGAGCAGGGGCGGATGTATATCTTAAATCATGAGACACGTGAACCTATGGTCTCTCCGTCAAATTAAATATTTTATGTACATATTATCTAGAATTGATGTAATATCATCTATTGGCATTCGTGCTCCAAAAAGATTGGACGGTGCACTTAGTTGAATGATGAGTTATTTACCGAGAGAAAGAGAGATCAATTCTCACTTAGTACTTTTTTAAAACTTAGTGGTGCACCCATGTTCAAGAAATTTTGGATCCGCCTCTAGATCGGAGGTCCAATCATACTAACGTGCTACGACTGTTTTGATGGTGTGTATATATAGTGAAGTTATAATGCTGAACATGGTTACCAAATAGGGGTTACTTTTCTTATTGGAATAAAGAAAATACTGGTTATCTTTGCAGATTTTAGCAATCTCCAACTGAATAGGTACAAACTTGTAATATATTTCATTCTTTATTTATTCAAGTTTGGACTTGGTTATTTCCATTTTATGTAAAATGTCTAGCTTCCCAAGTAGCTAAACTTGAACATTCTGAAATTCTTATGCCCAATAAAGATTTGAGTCCTTTTGAGACTGGCTAAAAATGATGAAGAATAGAAGGTTTGAACTAACTGCTACTACTACTATTTAATTTTCTTCTACATTTATATATGTGGATTTAGATAGCCGACTTCAACTTTGTAGTGCCAGCATTTCTTAAATTCGATGTCCCAATTTACAGCTTATTTTCTACTACTATTTCTAAGAGCTTTAGAGGTGGATTCAGGATTTTAATTTAATGGGTTCAACTTTTAAGATTTTTAGCATTGCACTCATTGTACTATTAAAATTATCGGTTCAAATCTAATTTTTGTTGAAATTTTACTAGGTTTTTACATATAAATTCATATTCCATGTCGAAAATTATGAGTTTAGTTGAACTCGTTGCCGAAAGGCTATATGGAGAGCTTAAGAGTATTTATATAACCCCTCAACACCACCCACTCCGGGTAATCATCTTAACAACAACTATTATGCATCAATCCCAAATAAAGTTGGGGTCCGCAATATTAATCCTCACTTCTTTATTTAAGTTCATCTTACATTATCATGCCAAAATAAAATAATAGTAGTGAAATAAGTCCTGTTAATTATCTTCTCCTTCAAAAATTTAAAAAAGAAAAATAGATGAAAGGGAAAACATGTAACGACTTTTTCTTTTTTCAAAAGTTGTTGTTATCCCAAGTATCCTTGAATCTTTTGGCATCAGTATCTAGACAATTTGCAAAAATGAAAAGATTATTACATTAAATGCCAATACGTGTAAACACGAGAATATTAAATTTAAGATACCAATATCATATTTTCATACAATAATAGGAAGAAAAAAAAGGAAAAAAAAATAGTGGTGTTCAGAGCAAAAATGAGGACAACCTCAGGAAGAGGCAAGCATAAAACATCAGAACAAAAACTAAGAATCATTCATTCCTGGAGAGGAATTTATTTTAGTCTGGGAAGGAATTCTCTTAAATGAGAATTCTTCTCCTTTCTCTCCTTCTTCTCCTACTTTCTTTCTGCTGTAATTTTTCTTAATTCATTGGAAATCTTTTCGTTTTTTAAAGATTCTCCAATCTTGCATTTTCCAGGTATTTATTGCTATTTCCTTAGGTTTCCCTTTTTGTGCTTCTTTTTATTATTTTAATTTACATTTGCTGCTTCTTTAATTTCTTCTTTCTAGTTTCTCCTTTATGACTATTTTTTTTTTTGGTCTTGACATTGTTCATGAATCTTTATTAGGGGGAGATTAAATACTAATTTATTCCCTTCTTTGCTTTATTTTTTTGGATTGATTTGAAAGTACTCCTGAAAAAATTATAATCCACAACTCAGTTTTCCATTCCAAAGGGACAAGAACCAAAGATAACACAATTTAATAAAATGGATAGAGAAAAAAGGGAAATTAAAAAGAAAAGAAATGAGGAGTCTTTTCTTTTATAAATGATGAGTTTGTAGAAAGAAAATAAACAGGCAGATGGTGCAGAGCCATAAAGTAATTATGAAGAAAAAAAAGGTGTTACTACTATCTAGTTCCTTTGGGGAATAATATCATTATATGCATGCATCAAATTTCGTCCTAAATGATTAGACATAGTCTATATCAAGAATCAAGATCGTCATATGAAATATCAGTTAACTTATGACAAATAAAGTCAACCCCTACCTTTGTGGAGTGGCGAAGCTACAATTTGCACTAAGGGTCGTTTGATATAATGGATAAACAAGAATAATCCCGTGATAAAATTTAGTACCGCCTGATCGCTTGTTTGGTTGCTAAGATAACTTATACCTGCCAGAGGGTAGAATAGTAATTGTAGGATAGGTTATCCCAGGATAAAACAGTAAAATTGATAATCTCAAGATTAATACAACATACCCAACTAAGAAATAATATCATGATAACTAATTCCAACATAACTAATCGAAGTATGACTTGTCATCAAACCAAACAACCCTTAAGGAGATTAAATATATAAAGAATTAGACATACAAAGAAGCTAGATTCAACATCTCCCCGTATACATATAAAATAATTTTGACCATATATACAATATAATTTTCTGGTGAAAGAGGTTCGGATAAACTTATTTGCGCCCCCTAGCTCAGTCAATGCGGCCTTGCCCCTCTCCCCTCGTCGTCAACAGGTCACCGACTTCCTTGATTCATACATGATCTTACGACTTTGCAAATCATATACACACAGACTCCATCAAAAGTTTCTTGTTTAAGAGATGGCTTTCTTTTGCAGAGTCCACTCAAAAATGGCTGAACAATCAAGTGTGAGTCAACATTCAATAGAGATTGAGCAACCTAAGAAGAAGTTGATTGTGCCAAGCATATTAGTAGGTATGAAGAACCAGCCATCTTCGCCTTCAGGCCAACCAAAAAGCGCGAAGTACAACTGCTTATGCTCACCAACTACACATGCTGGTTCTTTCAGGTGCAGATATCACAGGACCTCTAGCCTCACTCGAAATAGCATGTCTGTTGGCTCAAAACTCTCTGAGTTGGCTGCTGGAAAATGACTCAAAAATTTCATCACTTTAATCTAGCATTTCATCTGTAATTAAGCATGTAATAAGGACTCAATTTACTCTGGATTGCTTTTCTCCTTTCCACTTGATCATTAATTTTGTTTACTTGCTTATGAATAACTTCCTGATCTAATTCCTAAAGTTGTAAAATCATGAAAAATGCTTGGTTGTCCATTTGTTTATTTATTGGTTGATTCTGAGTTCCGTTGAGTCCCACATCGACAATGAAGGGATGGGCGATCTACTTATATAGACTTGGGCAATCCTCACCTCATGAGCTAGCTTTTAGGTCCAGTTGTTTAACATGGTATCGGAGCATGACCCATTCCAATTTTTCGATGTTGTGGCCCCAAATTATCCATGCTCCAGATGTCTAGTCCGGGACGTGAGAGGGGGTATCCTACATCGACAATGAAGGGGATGTGTGATCTCCTTGTATGGACTTGGGCAATGAGCAAGCACATGTTTTGCCTAACCTCCTCCACCCAACCAAAAGAAAACCAAAAGGAAGAGGAAAGCAAAAGACAGACACCTTAAAAGTTTGATTTGGGGGTAAAAAAGATGAAGACAGCTTTGTTCCCTTCTTTCAGTTTCTACAATCAGATATAAGGAAATTAAGCAGCAGTCTACAATGGTATCTGCATGAGAAAATGAATCTTCTCCCTGTCCTCCTTTTACTTTCTTTTTTTCGATAATCATGGAGCTTTATGCATCTTGATTAATTTCACACGATATCTGCTACCTTCCATCGAAACAGTAACTCTATCTATCAAAGCTTGAACATATGAGGAAAATTACATACCCAGCGTTTTGCCTCCACTTGGACTCCTTTTACTTTGACCTAGCAACTTCCCTGACTTTGAAATAACCTCTCACAAAACACCGGATTAAGCAAGCAAGAAGATGGAAAAACATCACAACAAGAAGCTCTTTCATATAATATGTACAAGAATGTATGAAAATTTTTGGTCACAGCAAAGAGACCCGTCACTCCGAGAGGACGCCAAGCATTACAAATATGAAAACCTATAGAACTATCCAATGTCAAAGATCAACCGTGCATGTTGTACTCGGCCTGTACACACTACTAAGCTGTACACACCACAGCATCCTGAGATCTATATAGTGTTATAAGCCTAATAAAACTTGTGGCTCACATAGGACAAGTATCTTCTTCGCCTTCTTGAGGCATCATGTAATTCCTGCAAAGCGGACAAGTTACGTTCCAATACTTGAGCCATTTCTCTAGACATTGCTTGTGGAAAACATGGCCACATGAGAGATGGTTTATTTCTGCATCAGGCTCAAAATCCGTTAGGCAGACCGAGCACTCTTTCTCAGCATGGTTAGAGATACAGATTGAGTCATAACGAATTGCAGGGGTATGACTTCTGAATTCCTCCATATATGATTCTGATGGGGTTCCACGACATTCAAACAGATCCAAGGGTCCTCCTTCGATAGAATAGTCGTCCCATGCTGCAATGCGGATGCCAATCACGTGAAGGATTGATCGGACTATCTCCTTGAGAACGGAGATGGATATGG